GCTCTTTATTTTTTTTACTGTTATTATTTCAGCTGTTCTCAACAAACAGTGGTTTCTTTTTTCTTGGCTTCCTGTCCGGTTACTTTTGCTTTTTACTCTCAACAGCAACCGGAAATGCAGTTTGATGTAATAACAGTCTGATAATCAGATCATGAATTTCAGTTGGCAACAAACTTAATGGTATATAGAAGAACAGAGCTTTCCAACCGGTATAATAACGCGTTCGTGGAAACATTGCTGTTACAGCGTGATAATAATTTCGAACCACATAATCGATCCGAGTTGATTTATACTTATGTACTACGGCTGGGAAAAACGATTGCCCTGCAAATGATCACTGAAACTATGTTGCTTAAAAAAACAAACAGATTTCACACAATCAGCTTACGATTATTATAATTTTTGATCGATTGTATTCCACAGATAATCAAACAATTTAGCGCAAAAAAGTTTCACAAACAGGCCTTAACAATGTTCTTTTGTTTGTTGTATGGCTTTTTCTTAATCAATTTAACTCTTTCTGTTACAAGACTTTCAAAGATATCCAAAATAATACAAACCTTTCCCTTCCCCTCACCTCTCAAAAAAAAGCTGTCTCAAGTAACTTTTTCTTTCCCGTATAACATAAAATTTGTTATTGTTTCGATGTTTACTGTTATTGTGATAAAAAGTGCAGAATTGAAATAACAATACAGTAATGTTTGAAATCTTCGCCATATTCAGCTCGTTTTTCTGCGGTCAACCTATTCCACGAATACTCAATTGTTCGTTGCATCGATGGAACAGCAATTAATGGCGTATCAAATATTTCCGGTTCAATATTGCAGCATTTTATTCCAAACCATCTCAGTTCTTCACTGCAATCAGCAACTTTTTTTGTAAACAAAAGAAAAAAACAAATTATTTCTTGGTGTTTAATAAATTTTCATTGTTGTTGTTTCACAGATTTAAAATTGAAAACTGAAATTGACGCAGGCTGTCGCGACGGCACGCGAAATTGCCTGAAGGAAGCAGCGGTCCAGACATAGCCTTGAGGGGACGCTTTTGGAGGTTATGTGGTTGGTCATTGCAATTACGAAGGCTATATAAGAGCAAGGTACGCAAGAAGGGGATTGTTGTCTGTATTGTCATGATCGACAATAGTAATTAAATGATCGTCTCGGTCTATTAGTGTCTCCCTGCTCTTTATATTATTATATTTCATCAATTTCCCTTTAGATTTTGTTCTTCCTTTTGTTTTTTTATATTGGTTTTGATTAGTTCATTATTTAGAGTTTCTTAAATTTCTTTGAGTTCTATTATTATTCATTTAAAGTTGTTTCAGATTATTTTTTTGTGATAATTCTTCACCTGCGTTGATTAGGGGTCATTAGTGGTCTTCTGAATCAGCGGTTTTTCTCCATTTATATTATAGGTTGTTTCTCAAATAAAGAATTATCAAAACAAATCAAAAATTTAGAAACGTTACCAACCTACGCTAGCTCAAGCAAACACAGTCCTCAAAATAAATATAGTGCTACAAGCGTTGGCGACTACGATTGCTTGCGGTTTAAAAACTGTATAAGTTCAGTTCCCCGTAGGGACACTGTAGAGGAGTTATGATCAATTACCCAATTAAAAGGAGTGTCAGTAGTCGCCATACAAGCGCAAAAGCAAAGTAAAAAAAACGGAAGCACACATTCACTCAAACACGCACAGATAAGGGTATACAGACACACACGACCCAATATATAGTATAAGCGTTATTAAAATGCACATAAAACTGCAAATAATCTCATTAAAAAACTACGTTTCATACTATTGCAACAGATATTAACAATTTGTTAACGAGATAAATTATTGAAGCCAATAAAACTGTTTTCATTTGAAAAATTATATCTCTGACCAAGTAACTGTTGAGAAGAAAATTTTTTTTGGTTTGTTAATTTTCTATTTCCTTTTCTTATATTTTTACCAGCAATAAGATACGCCACCGACCGTATTGTATCCATAAAACCGGCAGTCCCAAGTTTAGAGCATTGATACGGTGCAATTCCTGGAAAAGCAACCCGAGACAAAACACTTGTCGTCGTTACCAGACGCCCTTTCGATTGTTTTAGCAATGGTAGAAAAGTCTAAAAGTTCGAAGAAAAAAATTGCTTTTGAGTGTTCTTCAAATGCTACTGAACATTATCATCTGTTAGCCTTACAAGTGTAACACGTATGACACCGATGGTGTTAACGTCCAAAACAGCTTTGAAGTCTTCAACTTTTGACCAGTCTGAAGGGCCATAAACCGGTAGAATACCAGCATTGTTCACAACTGCCCAAAGATCTGTAGAAAAAAAAAAAAAAAAAAAAAAAAAAAAA